ATTGGGTAAGTTTGCATTTACATTGCTGCCAAGATTTATATTCCTTTTTTTTTTTTTTTTTACTAGACTCACATTTAGCTGGTCGACCTGATGGTAATCTTTTACTTCTTCTTGCTATATTTAGTGACCGCCTAGTAATAGAAGTTGATTGAAGAGACATTTTTGTACCAGATGTCTTTCGTAAAGGTATCGATAAATTTCCAGTTGTATGCAAAAATTTCTCTCATTGTTCTTCACTCGTAATTTTTTTTTAATCGTGTTTCAAGTTTTTTTATTCCAGAAGAAGAACCGTACTTCGTGTCATTAAATTTCATTAAATTTAGTACCTATGTTCTGAATTGAAGTACCTACTAGTTTCTTTATTTGTGTTCGATATCACGAGTTGAATTTCAATTTTCAATCCCATGGATTCAATTTTCAAATCTCATGGATTTAAAGCGTGCTATTAATTGATTTATATATTTATTTATTTTTCCGCTCGTCGGTCTCGTTTTTTTCCATGCCTTTGATCTCACGTAACGCACTGGGCTTCCGAGGTCTACCGGTGTCGAGTGGTAATGTCCGGATAGCGTTAATCGACGCAACGAAATCGTGCACAAAGTGATGTGCAACAGAGGTTCGGTTATGTTTGTTTTTATTTTTTTTTGATTTTCCGTCCCGGACGCGGAACTCGTGACTGGAACTTTTTAAACGCACAGTTGTTACGGCAGGGCGCGTCGTCTATCGTAATTTTATTTCTGGTTCGCATTATTGTTTTCGGGAGTGTTGTTGAACAAGCAGCCGAACGATAACGAAGGATGCAAAAAAAAAAAATTGTATATACCATTTTATGTATTATAAAATTTAACGCCTATCGGCTGTAGACGCACACCCAGAATTTGCGTTTTCAAGGAGCTCGAAATCATCCGTTGCAAAGTTCTTTTACCACTCCGTATTTTTCACCAACTTATAATATACGAAAATTGGTTTTATTCTCCTTGTTTCCGTGTCGGGAGCACGATAATTACCTGTAACACTATCAAGATAAATCCTGTCATTTGTTCGGATTCCTCGAACTTAAGAACAATTGAATTTCTTCAAATTTTACTCCGAGAATAGTTTAAGCTTCAAGTCGGGTCAAATTGGTTTTTTTGTTTTGTTTCTTATAAAAAAGGATATGTCTAAACGATTACGTTATTACAAAATACAGAAACTTAAACAAATAACAGACCACGCAGTATATATCTTCAGATAAGCTAAGCCAACTGATTATAATCGGTTATTTTTAAAATATATGTTACAACCCGTTTTTAATTTTATAAATTTCTTCATTCGAGTGATAAAAATAAGTGATAATCATTGGCTTGACGGCTTTTTTTTTCTGACATCTTATCCTTCCCGCTATGTACAGACGTTTTACTATTTTGATTACATAATTATCATTGATTAGATATTATTCATTGTTTTTCAGACAATTTTTGTCAAACTTTCGTAGACTTCTACGATGCGTCTGTTTTAAAATAAAATCATTAACTTTTGTAAAACGAAATTAATATTTGTGTTAGTACTATTATTAGTAATATGAGTTAGTACTTCAAATTAAACAAAAATTAAAAATGTTATGTTTATTTTTTAAGCTGAATCATACTATGGTACCATCATTATTGATTAGTATTTATCAAACACTAAATATAAGCAAAGCGATTAATAAAACGGTGAACGTTTCAAAAAAATATAAATAAATAACTTTTAATGTGTAGACAACCCAATAAAAATTGCAGAATAAACAAAGTGTATACATAAATAAACAAATGTATGTATATACATTTTACGGTACAGTATTAATATACTGTATAGTATAAATTATAATATGAAAAGTATTAGCTATTTAATTAATTTAATTGAAATCGTTTTCCTCTCAACAACTTCAACAAATTATATATTAATGTAGATTTAAAATCCAATTATGTGAATACAAATTTATGCGAATAATTTCCAATTTTAGAGATAAGTATGAAAAATGATTTACATAAATAATAATTTACGAATATCATACATTATCACTGGATTGAAAAATAAAGATTATACAAAAAGTGTTATCAAAATATTACATAGAGAAGCTTAAATTTTGAATAGCAAAGTCGCTGTACTCATTACAATTTATTTCCTTGACGGAAATATAACAAGTGTCGCTCTTTCATCATTAAAATAATTTATCATTCCTACCAATACATTTTTCTTGAGCTGAAAATAGAAACGCAAATTATACATATTCCATTTTTGAAGTACAGATTTGTTCAATAATTGTATATTTATTTTTGTATAAACTTTTGAAGTCGTGAAAGTGTTTTGAAAACTGCACAAAGCAAACCCACATTATAATATAATGCAGTGAATTATTAAATTCGTATGTTACACATTCGGAATTTATATTTTGTGTAAAATTATCATAACTTTTTTTAAATAATATTCAAAGCCCAACGGATGCATGCATTTTATGTTAAGTTGATAAGTAAACATTCAACCTTGTATTATTTATTTTATTTAAAATCACGTTTCAGTTTTTAATCTGGCTGTATGTAAACAGCGACAAATTTACCTCTTTTCTAAAAGTCGATATGTAATCTGTGGCCAAAAAAAAAGTTTAACATTATACAATCTGCGACAAAACCGATGAATTACATTATACCTCGCATTATACAAACTGCGGCAATTTATTTTTTGTATTTATTATCATTACTATACATACATATCGCATAATCACAATATTTGTATGTATCTATATACGTTTATCGTTTAATTTTGTCGAATATAACTATTATTATTTAATATAATACCCGTCAAATCAAAACTTATCAAACCCGTTAAATCGAAATAAATAAATAAATATTTTATACATCTACAATAACATTTAGGATTTGTAAATTATAAAAGGTGTACATCCATAACATATACATTTTTCTTATTGAATAATTTTTTCGTCGTTTAATACCAATTTGGCCTTGCATGTTTTATTTGAGAATTTCCATGTTTCATAACCAATTTTTTTTTGGATTCACATTTAAATTTAAGTTTAAAATTGTTCAAAACTATTAATTTTTTACCATTTTGGCTAATCATTATTGTAAATTCCATGTAAAATTAAATATTAAAACGACATGACACTTGTTTCTATCTACTTTTTTTGCAGACATCTAACATCTTTTGGTATCAGTATGAACTTAATACTATTAAGTTAATAGTATATAATTATTAAATACTATTTATTAAATAGTAGTATATTATAAATATATAAAATAAATTGCCACTGTTTGTGTAATTTAAAACTTTTTTTTTGTCACAGATTACATACCTTATATTAGAAAAAAGGTAAAAGATTGTAAGCTCCATTAAAAATGATATTATTTATATCTGACGGATGTGGTAACATCTTTTTGTTTTAATCGGACAGGATATTATTTGTATATTTCGCTCTTTTCGTAATGCTGTAATAATGCTATATCACGTATGGTTTAAACAACTGGAATCCAGAACCTAGGCGTATGCTAATAATAACAAACATGCATACTATTTTCTCCGTATGGCACTACCTGTACAGCTGAATTTATTAATTTTAAATGAATGACTTATAATTTAACCATCAACTGTGTTGATTTAAATAAACAAGCTTAAGATTTCCTTATTAAATTATAAATTTTTGCAGTGTATCACTGTAATCGCTGGTTGCATTTTAACTATTAATAAATTATACAACGATGCAATCCTTAAATTCTTGATCACATAAATGGTTAAAAATTTGTTTTGTGTCTATTTCGTTCAGTTGGTAATTAGGTAATTGTTTATAATGCCGAACCACGATGATTCCGATTACTTAGAATCGGATACAAATCATGTATTTCTTTTATATATTTTAAGACAAACTAATTTAGTTAAAAGAAAAGAATAATATTTAAATTACATTGTTAGCAATTAGTGATACCTTTTTCTCTGTGTATGTATTTTTTAGAATTTCAAATTCTTTGTAAAAATAATTATTAAAAACTATTAGGTTACTATTATCTAGAATAAAAAAATAAATAAATGAAACGAATAGTATTGTTTATGACGTTTATTCATAAAATAAATTATAATTTAAAAACATGGTTGGCACTTAATCAAATGATTTCCTATTACTAAAACTAGTTAAAATTGAAACTTTATCGTCTAGGTACATATCTGACGTATAGAATACTATAAAGGTAGGTACATATAAATAGTATCCATTACATATACTTAGTATACGAGTATATTATGATGGAAGTAAGAAGACAAAAAATGTCTATTACAGTCTGACGATATACACATCAATATGGTATACATATATACTAACACATTATACATGAAATAGTGATTAAAATCATTTGCAATAAACTTATTTCTTGAATGACTCAACGATAAAACGAATATTATTATTTTCAATATGACAAACACAATTTTTTTCTCTCACTCGTATGGACAAATAATTTGACCACATATGTAAAATAACCAATGTATATTTCAATAATGTGCATGTGATATATTTATATTGTGTACGGGAATTTCGCGGGCATGTGTGGCGCGCGTCAAACTAAAAATATAATCTGTATAATGCCTGTTTATGAAACGAGATTTTTTTTACCAAATTCAAGTGGTCTGTACCGTCGACAAGGACTTCACGGCATTCTATTCTGTTATGTACGATATATTCGAATATAAAAATTTGACTTTAAGCCCCTCACGGTTTGCGCTCGTATTGGTAGGGCGTGTGTATTTTGTATTTTATGAGTTTATAAAGAAAAAAAAGTCAACCAATTGCATTCACATTGAAACGTCTTTGGCGTATTTTTAAAAATAGTATTCGGGTATATGGTGTTACCTTCTCAGAGTAATTAGTTTCAAATAGAAAAGAAATACTTTTATTTCAAAAAAAAAAGTTAATAAATTTGTTTTGATATAAATTACGTAAAATTAATTTTCGGTGACCGTTCCTTTTGTGTATTAAATATTAAAATAATATTGAAACAAATTATTAATTCACAAGATAAATTTAATTCATAAACGGTTTTAAGTATATTTAGATTGAATGTTCTAAGTATGGTACAATTGTGAAAGAGCATTTTTCCACTAAATTTATCGTTCGAAAGTGACTTAACGGCGGTACTAGGGCATACATCGAGGATGGCATATACCTGTTATGCATTAATTGTAATCGATAGACGTGCAAAACTATATTGACGTGAATGGTTGAGTTGTCAAAAATACTTTTATGGCGGGCATATAAGGTGGGTGTGAGGGGGAAGTATGGAACCGAAGTGTTGATAATGGGTATGATAATTTGATACTTAAATTGTAAGGTAAAGAAAAAAATGATAGAAAGAGAAAGAGAGAGAGAGAGAGAGAGAGAGAGAGAGAGAGAGAGTGGAAGAATGAAAGGATAGCAAAAGGAGAAAAAGAAAGAAAAATGTCCATGTTTCGTCGGTGAAATATTTGTTGGAAATTCTTATTGACAAAAGCTTCTTTTAAATATTTTTTTTTAACGTACTCAATATTGAATATGTGTCCGTCCCTTGGAACTAATGCAATTTTATTTATTTTCCGAATATTATTCGGCTACAACTACTAATACTTTACTAGTTCTACTACTGCTGCTGCTGGTAAACACTGCTACACACACATTATTTATTTGTATACTTGTATAATATACGCTTTGTAATGTAATATGCCTACGACTACCTACCTAATAACTTTACATTAAAACGCTGTACTATTACATTTAATGATACAGAGAGCGTTAATAAGATTAAATATGTTAATAATAACGTATAATTAAATATTTGTGCACACACATATATATATATATATGGTACCTAGATATTTATACATAATATACTAAACGGGCATAATAACGCGGTTAACTCGATAGGTCTAGTAAGGCTTCATTTATGGTACCCGTAATCACTATAAAGTAAAAATTATAATAGTTATAAAAATAATAGTAGGTAGAACATGACGGTGATGATAACGTCATGGTGGGCATTAAGGAATGGCATATTTAAGTATTTGGTTACAGGTGATGGCTACACGGGTTAGGTAAAATACACATGCGGCGTTAACGGTGACATAGGGTGTTTCGTGTTTTCGTTCGTATTCTACGGTCGGTTTGATCGTGACTCGGATTTCGTCGAGACCGACTCTCGAAAGGTGACTTAAGACACACGGAAGTGGTAAGGGCTATTTTAAATCGCGCATTTCTGAGCGGAATGTTTTTGCGAACAAGCAATGAAATTTGCATTTATCGAGCGGACATAACACAACTATCGTTACCCGTTCTTAGAGTAATTGTGCATAATCGCATGGAGCGAGATCAAATACTGTTCGCCGTTCATGTAAGCCTTTCCGATTCGAAACAAAAATACCCACCAATAAACGTTTGCAGACATTCGCAAAACAAAATAATCCCTAGAAAACGGGAATGTACCGTCCGAACGTCCAAAGTCACCAAACGACTTTGGTTGTAAATATTTATACGTAAGTACGTATAGGGCGAGAGGAGCCGAGAACCGAGAAATGTCACGAACCACGTGATGTGCTCGGAGTTCTCGTTGGAATTCGCGCCACCGTCCCAGGACGATATAATGTCCTTCATCGCTACCCTCGTCAACAGGAACGCGGAACCGCTATCCCCCGTCTGATGGCGTTCAAGTGCTCGCACCGCATAACAACGCGCGCGCGCATCTATCGCATAATATACGCTACGAATCGCTGCAATCGTTCATAACCGATACCACCGGTAGCCTATCGGGTATTGTTATCATACATCAAGTACAGTACTACACGCCGAGTGTTCGGCAGGCGTACGGCGCCGCGTAACAATAACAATAGTAATAATAATAATAATAATAATAATAATAATGATAATAATGATAATAATGATAGTAATAGTAATAATAATATTGACAAACTCTGTACACGGTATCGTGTGCTCGTTCCACTATTTTAATACTATGCTACATAGGATGCGTGTGTGTACGTGTGCGCCGCATAGGAAACGGTCGGACACGGCTTATCGCACGTCGTAGGTCTCCAACAGCTCCTGGACCGACAGGCAGTGGCTGCAGCCGCTGTCATGCGCGAACCAGCTGCGCGACACCAGACCGAACTTGGGATCGGGCTTGGACGGCGGCGGCGGCGGTGACGGTGGCGGTGGCGGCGACGGCGGCGGAGGTGGCGGAGACGCGGTCTCGTTTTTCACCCGTACCACGGATACGGCCGGCGCACGTTTGGGCGGTTGGCCCGCCGCGGCCGGCTTGTTGGAGCCGACCGCGGGCAACTTCATGCGCTCGATCGCCTCGTCGTAGCTGGGCAGTCCGGTCACGATCGTGTAGCTGGGCAACGACTCGTCGTCGCGTTTCCGCGAGTTCTTCTCGTTCCTCCTCTGCTGAGCTACGGGAACAGAATATAAAAAAAAAAAAACCGTATGATTCAGACGCCGTTTTACGGTCGGTCAAGTTTGGAATACGCGAGCGGTGAAAACCAAAACCGCGTGGGGGGGACGCAGGGCCGTAGCAAGGGTAAGAAAAGGCTAGAGGAGCCTACGCCCCGGGCGCATTTCCTGGGAGGACGCAAAAATTAAAAAATTTCAATTTAATTGTTGCTTATGAGTAAAAGTAATATTATGTATTTATATATTTACTTATATAGTGTATAAATATTACTAAGTTATATCAATGAATCTACTTATAATTATTATGTATATTTATATTCAAGTTATTAATTTAAATAAAATTAATAAACGCTTACACAATTATAAGGAAAAATGATTATTTATATTGCGTTTATAAAACATATTCAGTTTTTTGTGAGTTTTTTCATAAATTAAAATACTTAAAGCCGCATTTTGAAGTTTCACCCTGAGCGCAATATTTGGTTGCTACGGACCTGGGGGAACGTCCGAACCAGTCCGAAAACATAATGATTTGTACTTTGCGCACAAGTACATGTAGTATCGTTTTTCTGGTTTACAATGCGTCGACGGCTTTCTAAAATACGTGTTTATCTTTTGACGAAAGACCGACTTTGGAATAGCTTAACTCTATGCTGTGGAAAATACACGATAAGAACTGATGTCGATTTATCGTCTGCGGCCCAAACAATGGAAAAACAGTGCGAAGTTATATCACATTAACCCTATCACGTTAAAAGTATGATACCGGTTTTCATTATCTGTTACATTTTCGGTGGTTTTTTTAAATGATCATCGTCTGAAAACGTAACAACTAGAGAATATCCAAAATCGTCAATGTAAGAGGGGATATTATTCAGAAATTTATAAAAAGGATAGTTATTAATATAATACTTGGATTTTATTGCTTTATTAAAAATTCGCTGAATTACTCTTCTTTGCTCCAGAGATTTTACTATTTTAAAAATTCTATTAAAAACTTGTGTCTATTACATAGTAACAAGTGCATTTTCTCAATATCTCAAATTAATCAATATGATAGTTTTAACTATAAGTTAATAAATTGGTGATTGATAAATGTTTAATTTTTGTATATAGAAGAGGAAACAACTAAAGGTTTTAATTTAATTATACACCAAAATAAAAGTTGGCATGCTCGAATACAAATAAATAATAAATATAATCAGTTCATAAATTATAATGATTTAGTAATTTAAAACAAATAAACCGATAGTCAATAATGATTAGAATACTAATTACAATTTGGTCCACGTGTAGTTAATATAAGAAAACATTTTAAGTCGTTAACATTTTTTAATTTTTCTGTTTTTTTTTTGTGTTGGTTTTTGTTTTATTTTTTTTATTTTTTTTTTTTTCCAATAAAATATAAATTATTAGAATTTTGTTGGTAATAATATTAAAAATATTAAAATTGTATTAATATTATTGTATAATATTTTTATTACACTATACTAACTTTCCAATACTATTATATAAATTATAGAATGTTAAAAAAATGTGGTCCTGGGGTCTAAATAGATCATAGAGAGTGCTAAGTCTGTTAAAATGGGAAGGAAAATGTTAGTATAATATAGTCTTTACCAAAAAATATTCAAGAACTAGTGTATTACCTAAAATAATTCTAGACCCAACTTGTGTAGTAATTTTAAATTCGGGACCCAATTCGGATGCAACCAATGATTTAAGTACATAACATAATTAATAATTATTTGAGTGACATAAAATCAATAAGATACTCCAAACGATTGAATATATTTATAATGTTGGCAGATATCAAATATTAGACTTAATATTTTTAGTTGAACCTTATTAAATTTGACTTGAAAATAGTGTATAAACTTTATAGCGACATTCGTAATTTGTCAGTCAAATATATGTACTATTCATTATTTTTATCTTAAGTCACGTTCCCACGGAATGGGGATCGACGAACTTAGTATCTAATCTGTTAATGGACTTTTAACCATTTTAATTGATTGTACAATCACAGAAATATCAGAGTACGAAACAAATACGTTTCATGCTTTCACAAAGCTAGTTTTGACATTTTATTTTGCATATATTCGTAGATATATATTTCGATTTTTTTTGTTTTAAGGGCATATTTTTTCCATTTTATTCTTCTTGATATATATTTTAAATAATTAATAATTTTATCAATAATTTTTCGTGGAAGTTTTCATTTGATCTAATATATAACCATAATATTATTGAAGTAAAATAATTTTAAATTTTGATCATATTTATATGGTTATTGACTATTCGCAGACGCATGTTTTTCCTTAGAAAAGAGTCATCGATTAGATTAATTTTATGTATAAAAAGTAAACAAGTTGTCTACATCATAAAATTTCCGATGGGACGGTAATGATTTCATAAATGATACGAAATAATTTCAATGAACAGAATTTTGTCAATCGTTATTTATTAATAATTTAATATTTTAATAATTTATTTATAATAATATTTCTTAGTTCTACCGTCTACATATGAGCGTCTATTTGTAATTTGCGTCAAATTTTTGTCTTTGTTTACAAAGACTTTGTTTAACAAATGCCTAAAGATAAAATGTTTTAACAGTCGGTTAAAGAGTTATTTATCGGAATTCGGTGTTTATGTGTTTCTGGTTGGCGTTTAAGTCCTATACGATAAGTATTGTAACCTTTAAGTAGGATGTGAAAAACGATTTAATGTTATGCAACATTTAAGTAAATTTTTTATATATTTTTCAAAAAAATCACTTTAAAAAAATTTAAGAGCATATTTTTAGTGTATATTATAGGATTTTTGATGTGGGACCACTTTAGGCACGTGGTTCGGTAATCTAAGTATTTTGCTTGGTCACACAGCCGTCCAAAGCTTGGCGAACCCCGTGCTGTGAGAACCCACCTTTAGAATTTTTCATACTTCATATTTCAACGGTTTTTAATATGCATAAGATATTATTTTGTACTGTGCATTTCGAAAAAAATCACAGTGGATAATTATAATTGGACAAGAAACATCCATAATTTTGTAAACGGCTTGATAATTAAAATGTATTTTTAGTGACATTGGATGGTGTGTAAGACATTTCATTTTTCGTTTTCGAATGAATATGTTTGTTTAAGTCATTAAAGTATTTTAAGTTGCCTATGCGGCATGCCGTACTCGAGCGTCTATAAATTACAATTCTAAATTATTATTGATTTCATTGGTTACAAGTCGTAAATTTATTTGAAATTTAAATATTAAAAACGAAAGGTCTACGGTAGATGTATTAAGATATATAAAAACGCCATTGAAATCATATAATATGGAACGTAAAGATATTTGCAATCAACTAAAAATCAACACAGCCAAACTAATTTACCTTCCTTACGTAAATGTACGTATGGGTATAGAAATACGTGCACGCAGTGGCATGGTGAACGATGTTTACCTAATGCAATTGCTTAGCCCTTTATATCTATCAAGAGCCTGGGTATCCTCTGGCTTATGTATTTATGAACATATTTTATTTAAATAATTAAATTATTTGGCTAATTGCATACATGGTAGATACTCGTTGGTTAGGTATTTGAAAGGAATTAAGGAAAATCCTATTGGTATATTGTACGATTGAATAGTTATATACATATATATATATATATATATATATATATATATATATTATTTAGCAATGGGAGGGATGGGTCTTTATTTAAATACTTTGCTTAAGTTTTCAAATATGCTTTCCACGCCACTGCATACACGTTTACATAATTTTTAAAAGCAGGTAGAAAATTTGATCGATATGTTTGATTAATATATCAGTACACTGTTAATTATTATGAGGTGTAAATATGTTTAGCATGTTCTTAAACTTCTTACCGTCCCTTTAAGCCATACATATACTAGATCCGAACAAACCGGATCGACTGAACCGAAAAATATTCGGTCTGAATTTTTTCGAGTGTGCTTTTGAGTGTATTCTTGTATTATTGTCAACGAATATTCGTTCCGCGCTATTAACGTTATTTTATTATCAGATTATAATAGTATGTAGTAATAGTAATAACAATAAACCACGTATTCTATTTTCTGTAATAATTGTTCAACAATTGATGAATGGAGTGCATGTTGTGTAGTCGTATAAATTAATATTATTTTTGTATTTAAAAGATATGGAATATAATAGTTCTTCGGATGATAAATGTGATTATTTTTTCTTAAAGAATTCAAATATTGAATCGCGGAAAAGATATTGGGTGCATAAGCTTTGGTAACAACGTGATAATAGTGGCAAATTTAAAAATGTGTGGATTGTATTAAAACATTACCCATTCAAATGTTATGAATACTTTTATACGGATATATCTACGTTCAACTATTTTTTTAATTGCTATTAAAAACAATTTGGCAAGACATTCAAATTTTAGACTCTGCATTGAGTCCGAAGAAAAATTAGCCTTGACTCCCAGGTATATTGATATTTAATACAGACATTCATTTAATACAACTTATTTTCGGCCGATAAATTCAAACATGTTAAAACGATTGAAAATTAAACCTACTTGGATTTCGGGTAGGGTAATTGGTTCAATACGAGTGTATAAAATCGGTCTTTTTTTCGGTTCGGTGGGTCCGGTCGGTTCGGGTCTAATATATGTGCAGCTTTAGCGGTCACACCGTAGACAACACAGAATATACGTGTGCATAATTTTTATAGTGGCAATGGATATTATATTATTTGTTTTATCGGCAGAACACGATTGGTTTTCGATAAACGAAAGCGATAACATCTTGATTACAATTCGTTGCTGAGCCGTGGACGAGTTCGGTAACTGTTGGCGTATTAATATCTATGAAACATTATCTGCAATGGATGAATTCCAACACGGAGTGGTCACAATAAATATAATGATTATTATTAGTATCATTATTTTTGTGTAAAGTTGTTACGGACGAAACGGGTTCTATGCATCCTGCGACAAATATT